GTGGAGTGTAGCCCGCCAGGTTCCTTTGTCCTTGAAATTCTCCAGCAAAGAATACTGGAGTGGGTTGCCATTTCCTTCTCCAGGGAATCTTCTTGATCCAGGGACTGAACCTATGTCTCCTGCATTGGCACACAGATTCTTTACCTCTGAGCCACCTGGGAAGTCCTGAAGTATTGGCAAGGAAGTTGAGTAATGAGTACTCTCATAGCCAGTAGAAGTAAATCCAGTGTAGAAAATGATTTGCCATTATCTAGGAAAGTTAAACACAGTTATAGTCTAAAATAGAGTGGTGCTAGTGCTAAAGAACCTGCCTGCCAATGTAGGAGACATGAGACGTGGGTATGATCCCAGGCTCAGGAAGATCCCCTGAAGGGGATAGAACCCACTCCAGTATTCTTGCCTGGAAAATCCCATGAACAGAGGAGCCTAGTGGGCTACAGCCCACAGGGCACAAAGAGTTGGACACGACAGAAGCGATTTAGCTCGCACACACCCAGGAAAAGTTAAACATGGTTACAGTCTAAATAGCGTAATGCCACTCCAAACCACTGTAGGGTATTACTACTCACTAAGTCATGGTTGGCATTTTGGTGGAACAATCTGCCCCATGCACTTCAGGAGAGCTGAAGTGGGATGAAGGCATCCCTTTCCCACTATATGCTAAGAGTGTCCGTCAACCAGAAACACCTCCATAATTTTTACATGTCCCTTATGCAGGTAATACTAAACCTTGCTGAGAACTGCTATTGCAGAGCTGCCCTTCTATATGTGTGTATCCAGGATATGCTCTTATCAGTATTGTTCATAATAATAAGAAGCTAGAAACAATGTCCATTAATTAGCGTAGGTAAGTGGTGGCACATGCATACAATGGAGGCATACGATTTCCTTCCAGGTTCCCACTGGAAAGAAAGGAGTGGGGTGCAATAAAGAAAACAAAGGACTTCTGTTTCTTCTTAAGCTCAGTGATGGACACACTGGTGTTTACTACTATTCTTCAAATTGTACACAGTCTATGGTATATATAGTTTCATAATTTTTAAAAGTTAAAAATAAAATCCTTTCCATATAATGCATCATTAACTTGCAGAAGCAGCTCTATGTTAAAGACAATGTTACAGCATCATTCCCTGTCTGGTGCCCCTATCATCTGGGAAAGAGCAGAGAACTGAAGAAACCTGCTGACACACAGTGCCAGCCCTGGACCACAAACCTGTAGCATGTTTTTAACACTTTTTTTTTCATTTATTTTTATTAGTTGGAGGCTAATTACTTTATAATATTGTAGTGGTTTTTGCCATACATTGACATGAATCAGCCATGGATTTACATGTGTTTCCCATCCTGAACCCCCCTCCCACCTCCCTCCCCATCCCATCCCTCTGGGTCATCCCAGTGCACCAGCCCCGAGCACTTGTCTCACGCATCCAACCTGGACTGGCGATCTGTTTCACACTTGATAATATACATGTTTCGATGCTGTTCTCTCAGATCATCCTACCTCGCCTTCTCCCATAGAGTCCAAAAGTCTGTTCTATACATCTGTGCCTCTTTTTCTGTCTTGCATATAGGGTTATCATTACCATCTTTCTAAATTCTATATATATGCGTTAGTATACTGTACTGGTGTTTATCTTTCTGGCTTACTTCACTCTGTATAATGGGCTTCAGTTTTATCCATCTCATTAGAACTGATTCAGATGTATTCTTTTTAATGGCTGAGTAATATTCCATTGTGTGTTTTTAACACTTTTTAAATTTTACTCCCCTCACTGTCTTTTGCTAACGGGATGAGATCACCGGCAAACAAAAGACCAAATGTATAAGTATCATCTCGCATGGTTGAACAAAATAGTGTTCCACATATACACGTATCCTAGGTAACTAAACGCAAATCCCTAATTTCTCATATTTGTACAGCAATTCAGAGTTTATAGTGTATATTCTTATCTGTTAAAATATATTTGACTGAATGCCTACTATGTACCGGGCCCTGCAGTTAAGAGTCATTTCTCGCTCCGTAAGAGCTTACAACTCAGGGACAGGCAGGCAGGTGAGGGGAGATCAGATGTACACAAGTACCACTCAGCTCAATGAAGACTGCAATGGATTTAAAGAAAAACAAGGAAGCAATCAGATCAACATAAGGCAAGGGGAGTTCATAGACAAGCTACATATTGCAGAGTTATGAGGAATTTGCCAGACATATTCAGGAAGAAAGGGAATGCTAGAAGAAACAGACCAACAAAGAGCAAAAGCCAGGGCACTAAAACGCTAATCTGAAATTCTCTTAGTAATGTGAAATAACAGGGAAGGGTGGAGAATGTCTAACTAGAAAGATTGTGTTTTATCCTATGGACAAAGCCAGAGGAACTGTAAAAGGTTGTCTTGACAGCAGTGTAGAGAATGGACTTGGAAGGTGTGGTGCAAAGTCTGGAGATAAGGTAAATTAAGACAAGATAGAAAATGTCAGTAATTCAGAGAAGAGATGAGAACCTAAAAATAAGGCAGTCACCTAGAAGACCAAAGAGAAAAGAATAAAATTTACAGTTATTAGAGAGAGAATTAGAAACAGTAATCACACAATTAACAGAGTAATTGAGAAAGAGAAAAAGAAGTCACTAAAACTGAGATACAATGGTTAAAAGTGGCTTCCACGCCGGCTTGGCGGCAAAGAATCTGCCTGCCAGTGCAAAAGACACAGGTTTGATCTCTAGGTCGAGAAGTTCCCCCAGAGAAGGAAACTCTCCAGTATTCTTGCCTAGAAAAGTCCATGAACAGAGGAGCCTGGCGGGCTATAGTCCTTGGGGCCGCAGAGTTGGGCACGACTGAGCGACTAACAAACACTAGTTAAAAAGGTAGATGGGAATCAGAGAACAGTGTTGTGAAAGTCAAACCCAGATTGTCAGAACAGGGGAGGGGTCAGTAACTTGAAATAATACAGGAAGCACAAGGAGAATGCAAAGTAACCCATTGCTGGATGTGGCAGTTAGGAAGGAGGTCACTGCTGACCTGTCAGCAGTCTGAAAGAAGTAAGGGGCAGCAAGCGGAATGAAGCAAACTCAAAGAGTGAAGCAATGGTAAGGTAGATAGTGACTCTTGTAAATGAAAGACTGGAGCATACTTCTGTGCTGCAGTGAAAAGGCTGAAAGTATGACAGAGAAACTGATGGAAAAGGTCCTAGAGGCAATATACAGGGACAGGTAGGATCAAACTAGCAATGAAATTATACAGAACAAGGGGAGGGACCATTCTTACTGTGAAAGAGAGGCATGCAGCACAAACTGTTCATTCTGTAATTTCATATTACTGCATTTGTGACATTTTAAAAGTCTGATCCTATCAAGCACCAGCAAGGAAGTGGGAAATGAGTACTGTGTCAAGTGCTAGGGGGTATCAGATGTTCCAGGGTTACAGAAGCCCTGACCTGAAAGAGTTCACAGCTTAACGGGCAAAAAACAATAATTTTAATATAATGTCCTAAGTGTAAACATAGTCAGATAAAAAGGGTAGTGTGGTAGCACAGAAGTTAGGGGAGGGGCTGGAATTTAAGGGCATTCCTGCTTGGTATTTTCTCCTTGAAACAGAAAGTGAAGTTATCTGCTGAGTTTTTCAGGGGAGAGGAGAGGCGGTAGGTGATATGTAGACAAGGATGAATGTTCAAATACTTGCTTACACAATAAATTTTATTCAAGATTTATTATGTACTGGGTACTATAATAAATGCTTTTATATATATTACCTAGTTGATTGTCAGAACAAACCTATTATTTTAATTTTACCAATGGAAAAAACAGAAAATCACAGGTTAAAAATTGAGAGATGCTAAGGGTTACACTGAGATTGAAAACTATTTTCTGCAAGTAGCAACAATGTGCATGATTGTGTAATCTTCTCTTGTGACCCCAGACCAAGAACAGCAATTTGTCCAGCACTGTGGGTTCACAGGGTTAGAGCAGGAGCAGCAGCAGAGTGAGAAACAGGGAGTCACAGACGCCAAGAAGAGAGCAACTCAAGGAAGTGGCCATCTGGTCTAAGGCTCAGGGAGACAAAGAGGCTTGGGGAAAATGAAGCAATCCGGGAATCTGAGGACACTTAGCAGTAGTAAGAAAATCAGTAAAGTGTCAAGCTGAGTGCAATTTTTCAAATTTCACTGACGAAAGACAACAGGTGCCAGAACGGGCCATGGCACTGAGTTCCTTAAGAGGAGGAATGTGAGTCATTAAATTGGATGAAGTCACATTTCTGTCTCCAATTTTCAATGTTATTTTCACAAGTTGCCTATACATCACAAGCCTTTACCCACTGACATGTGGTCTATGTATTTTTTACAATTATGTAATTCCTTGCCTTAATAAATGAGCATGTATATCAATTTAAAACTTTTCAAGATTTTAAGCCATCACCACTACCATTAAACTGAGTATTATGACTGCACTTCTAGTTGGAAATTCTTCCATCTCTTCCTTTGAGGCAGCTTTCAATTTTCACTGCTGTCAGTATACCTGGTACTAATTTCTAATTTGTTATAAAATGGAATAAACTAAATGTTCTCCAAAAAAATATTCTACACTTAATATTGTCTCATCTAAGAGTGATTTTACTTCTTTTCTATGGATTAAAGAACAGGTGTTGTGGGTCGTTTCCTGGGGGCTCAGTGGTTAGGGTTCCCAGTTCTCACTGCTGTGGCCCAGGTTCAATCCCTGGTCAGGGAACTGAGATCCTGCAAGTTGGGCAGAGTGGCCAAAAAAAAAAAAAAGAACAGGCATCATAGGAGGGCTTTTATACCTCTGAATGGATGAGTTAATCCCCAAATTACTTAAACTACTGGCTAACTGGAGTTCTTGATGTTTTTGCTTTTCCAAAAAACTTCAATTAACACTGAAATTTACTACCTTCTAATCCATTATATAAAAATGCTTTTCTTAATATGAAGTACTGCTCATTTTTTTGGAGTGAATTTGTAGAACAATTACAAGCAGTCTAATGATCATCATTACCTCTTTCTTGGCTTCTTTTTTGGGATCATAATCACTATCGTTTCCATCCACTGGGTGTGTTTCTTCCACGTCATCATCACTGAAAAGAAACAAAGATTAATACATTTAACACTTCTTTTTATTCTATTCCAGTGTTCTTATCAAACTACAATATACCTATCTAGTAATTTTACTAAATATTCCCCAGGAGTTATCCTTAGGAAGACAAGCTTTCATAATTTAGACTCCTCTAGTGTTTAGAAACATTTATCCTTTTAGGTATATAGAATCATTTAAGCAAACATTTACAGCTAAAAAACAGAGATTTAATAGGAAAGATATTTAGAAAGAAGTATCATTTGGGAGAAAGAACATACATGTTAATTTGATGTAATATTTATTATTTCAGTTCTCCAATTGGAGGATAAAGACAGACAAAAACCAGAAAGCAAACGATCTTTTATACTATCAGAAAGACACAGCTACAATAATGTGGACTTCAGTTATTCAGATAACTGTGGAAAGACCACCTTCCAGAGAATATATTTTTTTTTCCCCTTACTTTTTCACTGTACAGCTTGGCATATGGGATCTTAGTTCCCCAACCATGGATCAAACCATGCTCCCTGCAGTGGAAGGACGAAGACTTAACCACTGGACCACCAGGGAAGTCCTGAATATATTTTTTTAATATAGTCTAAATATATGTACTGAATATATCAATACTAAAGGGAAACATTTGTGATTAGTTAAAAACAATTCAAATATAACTCAGTAGAAAGGTTTGCTGACTATGATTAACAGTTAAAGAGTTGAAGAAAGTTCTTACTATGAAAATTTCTGATCACTCAGTTCTTCCTGTCAGAGCAGAAATAGGAATATAAGGATAAGAAGCATTTACAACTGTGATCACTGTTCTACCTTAGGAAATATAAGCAATACCTGTAACTATATAAAGGCATCCAACCTACCTGTCACCCTGATTATGTCTATTGGCTAGTTTACGAGCCTGGCGATCCATTAAGCTTGTCCTAGATCGAGTTTTTTTCCAGGAATAGTAATATTTCACAAGGCTAGCAATTGTCTTATCTGGAAGCTTGAAAAAAAAAAAAACCATGTTAATATCAGCAAGTTTTTTCATAAACTCTGATTAACAGAATAATATTTCTGATATTATTCTTTGATACTTAGCAAACAAAAGCATAGACAAACAAAATTTTCCCAGGTACCTTTATGAATTATAGAGTTAAATAGTGCAGCTACAGTCATAGAATCCCACCATACCTATGTCACTGATATTTGTAAATAAATATTCCTATTTATTCTGAGCAGAGAAAGGAGAGAAGGATGTCACAAACTAATATGATGAGAACTGCCCCAGAAGTCCACAGCAAAATGGTTAATAGTCCACATTGTGTTTTCTTAGAGAGTTACTCTGCTCTTTCCACCCCCTCTGTAAACTGGATTTTTATAAACTGATTTATAATTCATATATCATAAAGTTCACTAATTTAAAGTGTACAATTCAGAGGTTTTTAGCTTACCCACTAAGTTGCGCAACTATCACTATTTAATTTCAGACATTTTTGTAACCTCAAAAAGAAACCTTAAACTTTTTTTTTTTTTAGAAACCTTAAACTTATTAACAGTCACTCCCTACTCTCCCTTTAACCCAGACCCTGGCAATGACTAATCTACTTTCTGTCTCTACAGATTTGCCTCTTCTGGATATTTCATGTAAGTGGAATCATACAGTATGTGGCCTTTTACGTTTGGCTTCTGTTGCTTAGCATGATGTTTTAAAGAAAAGTGATTCAATATCATTTTGTTTTAAATCCAGGCTTTAAGATGATAAATAATACAAACAGACTTGGATATTAAAAGGACAAATGATCATGCACTACTTTGTCATATTGACAAACTTGGACATACTCTTCCAATTAAAAATGTTTTTTGATTATGGAAGACACTTAGATATATCTGCAAACATTTCTAATTTCCAAAATTCAACTTAAAAGAGTTTAATGCAGCAACTTCTCAGAGTTATACAATTTTGACTAGAAACACAAAAAATTTGAGAACTAGAAATAAAGAGCAGTTTTTCTTTCCAAAAAAAAAAGGAATGGTCCCTGAACAACATTGAAATGATACAGAATTTCTATCAACAGTTTTCATATCCAAAGGAATATAAATTTGAAAATAAAATCCTCATGTTAAAAATGAAACATTTAATAAAACTGAAATTATGAGTTTTCCTGAAATGATAAACTTATTTAGTAAGTCTATTAAATATATACTTATCATAATTGTAATTTATTACAATGAAATGGAACATAATGATCACATATTAAGAATAGTTGTAGAAATAAGACTATAGGCAAATATTTCTATTTCAAAATATTTTTAACAATTAGATTGGAAAACTTTTTTGTATTTAATAATTAGGAAGTGTTTAACAACAGAATTAGGTATCACTCAGGTATGAACCACAGTAAAAGCAAAATTACCATACCATTTGCTGAATCCTGTGAAAGCTCTTCCCATGAAAACTAAAGGCTTGTTCAAATAGGACTTTATCTTCCACTGTCCACTCATCCGGAAAGGGAGTGAAATTAGGGAGATCAGCAAGGGACTTCTCAATGTTATGTTTATGCCAGAACAACATGCCAAGTGCCTTTGAAGAGAAATCATTCCCCTTTGGTTTTAATGGACTTATGTTCCATCACACTTGAGAGAGTTCAACACAAATCAGGTTAAAGTCTTAAGCCTATGACTTCAACTGAAGATACATTCAGTTTGGGGCTTTTAATCAGGGTACCCAGGTAACAGAGTTCATTTCTTGCTTTCAAATCAGGGCCTCAGAATAGTAAATGTTCTTACATACCACATCTGCTGTAGAATCTAGGAAAAAGTGAGCTGAGGAGAGTGGCTATAATTACTAAAGCAGGTCTGTAGGCTCATATCAAGACTTTCACTCACATTTATTCATTTGTCAAGTGTAGGGAAAAATATGCTAAAAGGAAAAATAACCTGTAAGTCAATACTTGAATGAAACTATCAATTATAACATAAAACTAGAAGTGCTCAGACAAGACTTAGTAGAGAAATATTTATGTTTTAGCCTGTTAGAAGTATTCTGGGCTAAACACTTCTAAGAAGTAAGCAACTTTAACACTATTTCACCACATATATTTCTAAAGTTCTTTATTATCATAATGGACACAAAGAATTACTTTAAGGCATATTAATAATTTCAATGAATTTATTACCAAATCATAGGAAAACATGAAATGGATAATTTCTGACAATTCAACAACTTTCCCCTCTATTTTAAGAGGTACACCTTTATCTTTTTTTTTTTTTTTACACCTTTATCTTTACTGTAAGGTACTGATACTTTAGCCAGCTGACTCACTGGAAAAGACCCTGATGCTGGGAAAGATTGAGGGCAGGAGAAGGGGACGACAGAGGATGAGATAGTTGGACAGCATCACCAACTAGATGGACATGGGTTTGGGTGGACTCTGGGAGCTGGTAATGGACAGGGAGGCCTGGTGTGCTCTGGTTCATGGGGTCGCAAAAAGTCAGACATGACTGAGCGACTGAACTGACTGACTGACTGCCTGAGTATCATTTAGGGGATAAAGATTTATTTTTCAAGAGGAGAGATAGCAACTTTTTAAACAGCATTAATTTTTCACTTTGGTAATACTCTAGTACTTTGGTAATATTCTTTGAATATGAACATGAAAATGAACATATATAGAGTCACATTTCAAAGAATTAACCTTATCAAATAGTAAAAAAAGTCAAGGCTTAAAAACAACATACATAATCAAAGTTTTCAAAACCCACAGAAAAGTTAACTATAAAGATTAACATCTCAATCTCACCAAAATGATTTTCTGTAATTTAACCATGTTACTAACTATAAAATTAGCTCTTAATAATCCAGGTAACAGAAAGTTCACTTATTTTACTGTTAATTCTGACAGAGGTTGATTTTATACTTAGTTGAAATGAAATTTAAGAATGTCTATTTTACTTTCACTGTCCATGTTCTACATTCCCATTTTACTAGGGATAATGGACCATATGTCATATATGCGTGTGTGCATGCTTAGTTGCTCAGTCCTGTTTGTGATGCCTCAGACTATAGCCTGTCAGGCTCCTCTGTCAGTGGAGTTCTCCAGGCAGGAATACTGGAGTGGGTTGCCATTTCCTCCTCCAGGGGATCTTCCTGACCCAGGGATCGAACATTTGTCTCCTTGCACTGGCAGGTGCACTGCACCGCCTGGGGAAGTCTCGTACCACATACATCTCCTTTTAAAGTTATCTAATTTTTTTTAAAGTCCTTTGTCAATTATTTCCTTCAAAATTTAAAAACCTTAAATATTTCTTTAAATAGAAAGTTTAGTTTCTAGGTCTTTTAGGTTAAAAAGGCAGAGGATTACCTCTGCTTAAAACACTTCCCCTTTTGGTGAGTATTTGCTAGAGTGATCCTTAAGGCTTTCAGATCTTTAAGAACTCAGAAAAACCCCAAACCCACAGAGGTGTTGAGAGACACCTCAAGCCCTTGAGATAAACAGTGCTTATAAAAGCGAAATCTTTAACAACGAAAGGTCGGACTTTGCTACAACCTCCCAGGTAGCTCAAAGAGTAAAGAAACTGCCCGCCATCTGGAAGACACGCATTCGATCCCTGCGTTGGGAAGATCCCCGGCAGAAGGAAACAGCAACCCACTCCTGCCTGGAGAATCCCACAGACAGAGAAGCCTGATGGGCTATAGCCCATGAGGTCGCAAAGAGTCTGACACGACTGAGCAACTAACACTTTCACTTTCATAAAGTTGGTCGAACTTAAGCACTTTCTTAAGACAGAAACTATCATGAGATGTTCCTGGATTTGATAATTACTGAGGCAAACCTTAATATTAAAATGTTTCTCTACATACCTGTTCCACATTGTAGCCATGTTTCTCCTTTGCAATTGCAATATATTCATCCACTGTAACGAAACAGTGTTATATAATTAATTATTCTCATTTACTTCATCAGGTTGACTTTGCTTTTTAACAAAGCGAAATTTAAAAATAATTATACTCTAGGGATAAAAAAAACCCAAAGTCATTTTCCATAAGACATTATAAAAAAGACTTTCACTTCTACGTACAGATCAGAAGCTCACTTGGTTTAAAATTTTACTTAGTATGCCTTATCTCCATGACCATACAGCATATACTTATTAAATTCACTGACATGACTAATTATTTTTGTATTATAAAAAGACCAATCTGTGGTCAGCCAACAGAGCCTAATTATAGTGTAAAATATTAGGTAGCTTCTATTTCAATATTTATTTAACGAGACTTAGCTATTTAAGACCTCATCTCATGTTTAGAGTTTTCCCAAAGCTTTTACCTTCCCATATTTGATTACTGTATAAAGGATGGTTTATCTATAGTTTTGCCAGTATAGTAACAATTTAAACATGCTTCAGTATGCCTAAAATTTTCTTCAGCTCCTCCTGCTAGCTATACAAAAGGTACCTATATATTCCATTTTCTTTCATTCTCAATTATTATAATCAAGCAAATAGTTGTTTAAATAAGCACAGCTTCTATGATGACATATATATACAGGCTATTTCAAGGCCTTATTGCCGAGAAATCTGCATTTCACATTTAGGACTCATTTTTATGTAGTCTTTCTTAATCCTATACAATATAAATAAATAAATTCTTTAAGCACATTTTTGAGAAGCAGCGGTTAAGAATTCTGAACCAAGAACAGATAGCTAGTCTACCAAGACTTGATTCCCAGCCCTATCACTTGTTTTTGGACTTTAAACAATTAACTTGACCTTTTTGTACCTTAGTTTCTTCACTATAAATAGTGATAAAAATAGTACTGTTTTTAGTACTATTCCTCCTAGGATTAAATGAGCTAATATATGTTAAGTGCTTGAAGCAGCATCTGGCCCATTTTAAGTACTTTCTAAGAGTTTGCTGATGTTAATAGTACAGTACAGTTTAATATATAAATATGCTATTGCAACAATAATGCTGTTAGATTAACAACTAATTTTTATGGGTGTTACTGCATCTCCCTAAGATTGCAAGCTTTGGAGAAAATCCAAATGCTATTTTCTATTTAGAACTCATAGTATTTAAACATATGACAGGTCTACATACATGCTGATTAACAAAAATGTACTGCAATCCTATAAATAGAAGGTTAAATAAAACCAATCAACCGGTGGTTCTCAACCTTGGCTATGCATTTAGGATCAGCAGAGGAGCTCTAAAATAGCAAGTCCTGGCTCCACCCCCTAAACTTTCTGATTTAATTAGTTTGAGGTGGAGGCCAGACATCAATAGAAATTTTTTTTTAAGTTCCCCTAAGCAAGTCCAAAGCACAGCCAGGGATGAAAACCACTGCCCTAGACCTTCACTGGGATATTAGAGGTGGACGCACCACCGCCAGGACATGTTGGCTTTCTGAATTTTGTTTTCCACTTTGCTAAGAAATACACCATTATATAAAACAGTGCTAAAAAGGCAAAAGCCAATGACACTCTGATGCTCAGTTTATGAATGAAAGCATCTGCCTATAAGAAAGACTAAACTGAAAAAATCTGACAATCTCTTTCAGGTTCCTCAGTACACAAAATATACAATTTAGTGTTTTCAGTTAAAAATACCTCAAGGGCATTAATTCCTAGATTACCAGCTAGACTTTTTGCTGGTATTCTGAAGCTTGTAAACAGGAAGAATTATCAGGTATGCAAAATAACAGTTTTCAATTTTTAGTTCTCTTACTGCATTAATAAGTATGACATACTGTGCACATGATTTATAGGACATTGTTAATTTTCATGGGACTAAATAAACCAGCATGGGACATCTTTTGAGATTTGGTAAATATTTTAAAAAGACAAATTTATTTTACAGCTGCTAAAATAGCTGTTCAGTGGGTTTTGTTTTAATAAATCAAATGATAATTGAGTGGAGGGGTGGGGATCTTAGTTTTGTTACCTGCACGTTTCCTATATCTGATGTGCCGCAAAGGATCAGGTCCGCTACATCACATTGAAGTCTAAAGCCACACCATGATTCAAGAAGTGCATGGTCAGTGATCCAGAAGGTCTCCGTCCAGAAATGGAGAGCACAAAGATGACCTGATTGATGGCTGCTGAAGTCAGTCCTTTCCCCTTTCCTCTTTAAAATGGTAATGATAGTGGGCTCTTGGAAGTTTGAAGGCATTTCTTTACAGCTTCATATACTGAGGAATAGCCTGTGCAGATGTCTACATTGTAACTCCCTCCCCTGCTTCAGGATTTAAGCAGCAATGCCATCAGATCCTAGGTTTTTTCAGTCTTCCTGGGCCTGACACAAATTGGAATGATCAACCCACTATCTTTCAAAAGGAAAAACATTCTAACATAGCAAGCTCCATCAAAAAAACAAAATAAAACAAAGACAAACTATTTCTTATGAGATCTAAGAGATCCAAAAACAAATATAAGTTGCATTCTGAATTGGTTGATTGATTCCCTACTTACATAGACATTGCTTCAAAAAACTTACATTTGGCATCTGGGATACTATGATATGGAGACCACACAAGCATTCCTCCATTGTCTTTATCTGTGTACTTTGTAGCACCTGGGGGAAAAAATTACTTTGAATATGATGAACTTTATTCGCATTCAAAATAAGTATAAGCAAAATAAGCTTTATTTCTATTTTAGTACAGTACCTGCAAAAGATGACAAAGTACAGAAAAACAAAGAATAAAAACAGATTTACACTAAGTATAGTAAATATATCATTTGTGGATATGAACAAAATTTCAGAAACACTGAAGCTTACCCTCTTTAAATTAAAAAAATACTTTATTATAACATATATTTTATAGCCCTATTTCTCAACAGGTAATAAATCTGATTTAATCTTCTATACGTTACTTGTTGTTTAGTTGCTACGTCAAGTCCAACTCTTCTGTGACCCCATGGAATGTAGCCCACCAGGCTCCTCTGTCCATGGGATTCTCCAGGCAAGAATATCGGAGTGGGTTGCCATTTCCTTCTTCAGGAGATCTTCCTGAACCAGGGATCAAATCCACATCTCCTACATTTGCAGGATTCTTTACCACTGAGCCACCAGAGAAGCCTAAATAATAATTCCTACTTAGGAATTATTAAAAATTCCAGAGAAGCCCGTATCTTACTTAGGCATTATTAAAAACTCTTGACTTAAAAGCCCATACCTCAGGTGATAATTGTTTTGCCCCATATCTAAATGAACCGAGATCATTATAATTTCTAAACACTTGTATCTGCTTTTTATTTAATCTTACTCCTTTTTAGAGTTAATTTAATTACTTCTTATATCTACAAACATTTGTACTCTAAGGGAAAAACAAAGTCAAAACATGTAAAGTTAATAATGCTATTTCTTCTTAATGTAATCTGAGAAACTACCTCTACCTAACCCAGAAGCACACTACTGCTGTTTATAATTTATTTGTTACAATCTAAAGAGTCAGGAAAATCAAACACTATTGAAACTGCACATAAATTAAGATGAGACAGAATGAACAAAAGGCCTGACAGAGTTATCCCGGAGCCAAGTCCATGCCAGTAGGTTCTGTCTTTAAATACTTGGTGGTCTTTTTCTGGCTTCTTCCTAATTCTTTGGTGCATTCAAGTTAATTAAAGAATATGAGCTGTTGATAGCCACCAGTAATTAATGGCTAGAATTTCAAAATTACTCACAGAAAACATTAATAGAAATCTGAAGTTAAACTGTAATCATTTATGAAGTTATAAATAATAAATTCAGAATAAAAACCATTCATTTCCAAGGGTAAATATAACTATTACTACACTCCCAACTAGAGACTTCATCTATCAAGCAATAATTTAATATCATTCAGTAGTTCTTTACGGAAGCTAAAAATTGTTATGTATGTTTACTAAAAAATTAGGGATAGAGAAAAAAGAATACTGTAAAAGTATTAAAAAATCATAATTAAAATATAAACCTAAAAGAAAACCTACTGCATTTTGTCCTAAGTATCTTTAATGAAAGGATGAAAACAGGAATTGAGAATTTAAGAAAATCAAGTTTGAAGGATATTATCTAAAATTTATATACAATGAAATTAAATTTTAAGCTATCTTTTAAAAACTCCAATATTAAGATATATATTTAATTTAACCACATAAAACAAAAACACAAAAGCAGAAGTTAAACCACTCAGAAATAGACAACTTATCTAAGTTCGTTAGAAGTCTTTATTTAATAAAATCTTATTGCTATTTCTTGGTGAAGGCAATGGCAACACATTCCAGACGAGTGTACTCATCTGGAGAATCCCATGGACGGAGGAGCCTGGTGGGCTGCAGTCCATGGGGTCGCAAAGAGTTGGACACGACTGAGTGACTTCACTTTCACTTTTCACTTCCATGCATTCAAGAAGGAAATGGCAACCCACTCCAGTGTTCTTGCCTGGAGAATCCCAGGGACGGCGGAGCCTGGCGGGCTGCCGTCTATGGGGTCGCACAGAGTCGGACACGACTGAAGCGCCTTAGCAGCAGCAGCAGCAGCATTGCTATTTCTGGGCTTCCTTGGTGGCTCCGTGGGTAAAGAATCTGCCTGCAATGCAGGAGACCTGGGTTTGATCCCTGGGTTGGGAAGATCCCCTGGAGAAGGGAATGACAACCCATTTCAGTATTCTTGCCTAGAGAATCCCATGGACAGAGGAGCCTGGCAGACTACAGTCCATGGGGTTGCAAAGAGTTGGACACAACTGAGCAGCTAACGCTTACTGCTATTTCTAGTGAGTATGCTAAACTTCAGTCCTTTAATATGAGACTGATTCTTTTTCACAATAGATTGTGATGCTAATTTAAATATCACTTAATAGAATATGGAATGCAACAAAGGTTTCCATTAAGTCTTGAGTCTAAACAGCATACATGCTTAATATTTAGACATATTTCCTTGCATCTGATCCTTGTATTGCAAAAAGCTTGAATTAAAATATTTTCATTAAATATCTCTTCTTAAACTGATATAAGCTATTTTTTGTACTCTTGCTCATGAAGAACAGTTAAGTTTCCTCATAAATTCTTATCACTGTAATTAAGAGCCAGATCCTTTGACAGAAACTGGCACCCAAACTGTGGGGACTAATATCTCTTCTAATGCAGGTGTATGGTGTGTGCATGCATGTGTAGCAATCACATCTGGTGGTAGAGTGTGTGTGCGTGTGTGTAGCAATCGCGTCTCGTGTCAGAGAACGGTTACTTAGGTATTTCATGATGTTTTTGCCCTAGCTCTTGAACTGGATGCCACCATTTGCAATCATATATGTGTTCAGGTAGGACCAAAAGATGACTGACGTCTATAGGAAACCAGAGATATTTTAGCACAATGGTTAACAGAGTAATCACTATAGAGACAAACTCCAGGTGTGAATCTCAGCTCTGCCACTTCCTAGCTTTGACACCTTGAACAAATTTATTGTGTCTGTGCCTCAGTTTAACCTATCTTTAAAAATAGGGATAATGAGAGCACCTTCTTCACAAAGTAGTTAAAAAATGAAGTGAATTCATATGTGTAAAGGACTTGGCATATGATAAGCACTACCTAAGACTTATTGTCATTACTACTATATACTTACTGAAGATAGTTCTTTAAGTTCCATTCTTAGTCTACTCTGGAAAGGCTGCTTCTTATCAATCAAAAATATAAATGAATAAAATCTCATGGGGCTCTAACTCAAACAGCTGATGACCTCTCTTACCAACCCTTTGAAAATAAGACTAAATAACTAAAATGACTTATTTTGTTTTACTGACAACTCAGCCTGATTCCTCTCCTATAAAGAGTAACAGAAAGTAACTTGCATGATTAAAAACAATTTACCTCTCAGGATGACTTGCATTCAGTAAAGCCTTACCCTTTCCATCATAGAAGTTGAAGTAAACCAAAATATTTAAAGGACATAAACCAAACGCTTACTTTGCTTTTACCTGTAAAAATGTTTATGATTATACCTCAAGGGCCAACAAAGGTCCATCTAGTCAAAGTTATAGTTTTTCCAGTAGTCATGGATGGATGTGAGAGTTGGATTATAAAGAAAGCTGAGCACAGAAGAACTGATGTTCTTGAACTGTGGTGTTGGGATAAGACTCTTGAGAGTCCCTTGGACTCCAAGGAGATCCAACCAGTCCATCCTAAAGGAAATCAGTCCTGAATATTCATTGTAAGGACTGATGCTGAAGCTGAAATTCCAATACTTTGGCCACCTGATTCGAATAACTGACTCACTGAAAAAGACCCTGAGGCTGGGAAAGACTGAAGGCAGGAAGAGAAGGGGACGACAGAGGATGAGATGGTTGGATGGCATCACCGACTCTATGGACATGAGTCTGAGTAAGCTCCAGGAGCTGGTGTTGGACAGGGAAGTATGGAGCGCTGCAGTCCATGGGGTTGCCACGACTGAATGACTGAATAACCAAAGAAGTTCAATCCTCCTGAAGTCTTTCAGAGCCCCTTAACTACAGTAGGTAAAGTACATGTATGAGACCAATTTGGGGAAAACTAACAACAAAAGACATTTCGATTAGGATTTCTATACCAATAGCAAGTTTCAAAGAAAGTACAAAAATACAAATCTATCTCTTTTCAGATTTCCTTTAAGACAGTCAAACTAAGGATTTTGATGGAAATCATGGAACAAATATTCTATATAAAGAACTTAAATACTGAGATCAATAAGACACTCCAAATTTTTTTAACTCTGTTTATAAACTAGGCTCTGAACTATATATACTTAATTCATCAATTTCAAACTGAGGTAAACAACAACTTTCCAAGGGGTACACAATCAAGAATAAGTCTTCTGAGAACCAATTTTCAGAGCATCAACTTCCCTGTTTTCTTTTCCAAGACAACTGCCTGAGAAGTCACCTTCAGTCTAAGCTATACACTTAAGCTACTTCTGACCTTCTTCTTCACAAATGTCCTTCCCTCACTCAAAAGAGAAAAAGGAAAAAAAAGGCAGGTCTCTCACACAACCCAAATCTTACAAGAGTACATTGCCTAAAATTTAAAAACCACCATGATGCCCAACAAAATATCAGTAAAACTCTCCTTTACTCAAGTTACCATGACTATTACAATCTTACTTAATTATTCATGATTATAATAACTCCAGACAGAAGAATTAAACATTTAGAACCTTATGTTCACAAGAGTACATGATAGTACAGAAACTGGACAGGTGATCAATAAAACACTTTTAAGAACAAAAATGTTTTATAAAATTCTGTGAGGAAAATGCATGGAAATTACAAAAATTTATACATTTTATAAAATAGATCCTACCACATTACTAGAGTATTTATATTTAATTGGATGTGTTTAAAATAAGTTTATAACAACTCTATTTCCAGTGTTAACACTGGAAATTATATCTTTCAACTAATAAACTCAATGACAAATAACAGATGTCAACTTAAAAATATGTGAATCTATTTTTCAAATTTCTTTTGAGTATGCAACAAAATATTTTGAAGGCCACTGCCTTATATACACTCAGTTCAGCTCAGTTGGCTCTTTGTGACCCCATGGACTGCAGCACGCCAGGCTTACCTGTCCATCACCAAATCCCACTCAAATCCATGTCCATCAACTTGGTGATACACACTAATTTTTACTTAACCTTATAATATAGTTATTATTATCTTCCTTTCACAAATAAGAAAGCTAAGGCCTGGACACATTCAGTTCATCCAAGGTCACAATGCCATAGTGGCTAAAAGGCATATGATAAGAGGTAAGACTCTTAATCACCACACAAAACTGCTCTTCATGACGTAAGTATAGTCAGAAGGCACTAAAGAAAAGTTGGGACGGTCTAGCAAATAATCAAAAGGAAAGGAGTCACACACACACAAAAAAAGAATAAAAAATCTGCTTAGTAAATTTTTATAAAGGCAGTTAGCAACGGTCTGTTAACTAACATAAACTGTTTCTAACCTCTAACACCAGGAATTCCAATTTAAGTCTCAGTTCACTCATGTTTTCTAAAACACTCATTTTAGTAATTCTTTCTGTGCTTAATTTCTATCATCACCACAATCATCTCCTCCAGTAAAAATATCCTCCACGAAAAAAATCCTCTTTTAATTTTCCTATATTCTGATGATACTAATCTTGGTATCTAAGAAATTTTTCTTTCAAATGACTTGGATGGCTATGGATGAGCAATCATGAAGACAGATTGAGTGGTTTATAAGACTAAAGACAATAGTATGTAAAAGAGAAAAGGAGAGGAGCTGACCATTTCTCAACTTCTATCATTAATTAATAAATACCTTTCCGTTTTTCTTCTCTTCCAAAGAAATATGTGACGTTATGACCCAATGGTATTGAATTGATATGGAGTAAAAACTTCACACAACAGCACAAACACTTAGAATAAGATAGAGCAGTGTACCATGTTGAACAGCACAGAGACTCAAAATTGCCTTGTAAAAAATGTCTAATAATGATAGTCTACATTTGCTTGACAAAATTTGCCTATAACTACAGAAAAGCCCATCTAAGTTTAGATAACTGGTTTTAGTTTGCCCTTGGGTTCAATATTCTGCAGACTATTGAGAATAAAATGAATAAAAACATACCTCATTTTATTGTACTTCAGAGCTATTGTGAAGGTTTTTTTTTTTTTTAACAAATTGAAGGTTTACAGCAAGCCTGTGTCAATCAAGTTTATCAGCACTATTTTCCAATAGCTTCTGCTCATTTCTTGTCTGTGTCACATTTTGGGAATTCTTGCAATATTTCAAACTTTTTCATTATTATTATAGTTATGATGATCTGTGATCCTGGATGCTACTACTGCAAAAAAACTACAACTCCCTGGAAGCTCAGATGATGGCTAGCATATTTTAGCAATAATGCATTTCTTAAGGTATGTACATTGCATTTCTGGACCTAATGCCATTGTACACTTCTATATGCACTGGGAAAACAAAAAATTCATATAACTTGCTTTATTGTGACATTTGCTTTATTGCAGTAGTCTAGAATCAAACTCACATCTCTGAGGCATGTCTGAAGATGAATTTAAAGAATATGACATCTGTCCTTATTCTAATAAAAAGGATCAGTGAGTCTGAGTAAACTTAGTGAAAATGTAACTTTAAAAATTGCAATATTTGTGATTTTTCCCTCAAATATTCTACTTAGGCAAAATATGCAAAAATATGATGATCAAGGAAATTGGGTAATAGAAATAGTGGCCATGTGAAACCACATAAAAAGTACTCTGCACTTTAAATGAACTATTTTTCTAACTTTAAAATTGGCTCTAGTAATCCTTTGCTTGAAATCTGTTCCCAAAATTGCTACAGGGAACAGGTCATGGCATGCACACATCTGTTTCAGCATGAAGTCCAGCTCTTTAACACAAGACCCCTCATCAAAGACCCCTCATCAACTTGTGTCTATTTGGGACACAATAATGGGACAATAAGCCATGTTTATTATGCTGCTGAGTTCTAACTGGGAAATAAGTTTATCAATTCCTAAAAAAGCGGTAAGCCAAGGAAAGCCCCAAATCAGAAAGATATAAAGATATGCAGAATCATTCCTCACCATTAAGAGGAATGATAATTTAATAATGGTAATTTAAATTTAACCTCCAAAGAGTACTGCCATTTGCCCACTCATATAACCTTAGCAAGAATCCCCTATTTTTATTTCCATTTTACAGCTAGGGAAACTGAGGTTTATGGAGGGTCAAGACCTGAGTGATTAATTCAGTCTGTCTTAAGCCAGAGTAAGCTTCCAAATGTTAAGCTAATATCCGAGGTAGCACAGTCATGTGGAAGCGCTATTCACCTACTAGCTACATTAATAAAATTTGTTTCACAACATTTAAAATTATTTGAAGCCCTCCAGCACACACACTGATAGCTTTTGAATAAAATTTATTAAGAGTCATGTCATTTAGAAGGCAACTCTGACCTAGTAAGCACTCCTGTATCATTGTTTTTACCTACTGAAAAATAGCCTGCACTGACAATCCTTCTATTTTACCCTCTCATTATTTTACCTTTTCCTTTAGGACTAGAAGAGCTGCCTAAACCCTAAACATCCTTAAACGGTTGGTAAATATCACTTTGCATCGCAGCAATGGGCAGAAGAATGAAAATACCCATGGATAAACCACAAGCAAAGAAACATGCTATCTTCCCTAAGAAAATACAAGTAAGCCCCATTAATATCTAATACAGAATTCAAGAGTTCGACACAGACACGACATTACTGTAAGTGGGCAATGGGCAAGGAACTGACCAAGTGCAAGAGGTGGTGGGTTGAGGGGGGTAACAAAACCCTTCCAAGTCTGCCCAAAGCCTGAACGGAAGAGGGTCTGGGATGGGGTGCGGGGGAGGAGACACGCTCCACTCCGAGAGGCTCCAACAAGGGCGCCTCCATATGCGGAACTCTCGCCCAATCCCCATCCAGGCTGAGATCCCGTGACCGCCAGGGAGCCTGTTTGGAGAAAAGTAGACAGGGAGCCCGCAAGCCGGGCTGGCAGAGGACGCTGGAACCTGGCTGCTTGGGGAGAAAATGTCTCCTTGGCAGCTGCGGTCACTTGTCCTGTGGTCTCACTTCCCCGGGGCTGGCTCTGGAGCGAGGTGTGCCTCTGGCTTCTCCCCACCCCCTTCCCCCAATCCCTTTCGCTCCGCGGCTCCTACTCCGCAAAGCGGTCGCCACCAAAGCTACACCACCTAGCCAAAAAAGAGAGAAAAAAAGAAAAGAAAATAAAGAAAATCCCGTGTGTGTGAGCGCGGGTCAGGCAGGGCTCGCCCTCGGCTTCGGCCGGTGACAGCCGCCGGGGATCGCCGCCAGGGCGGAGCGCGGCCCTGGGCTCCCGGGGGCTGGGTCGGGAAGCCACTGACATCTGCACGGTTCTACCACGCACAGCCCGCACACCCTCTCCTCCAGCTCTTGGGCCCGCAGCCGCTCCACCCCCGGCCTCCGACCCCTCGATTCCGCCGAGGGCCGTCTCCCTCCGCTCACTCCGGGATCAAGGCGGGTGGAAAGGTGAATGCCACCAGCGGGCAAGTGGCCTCCAGGGGAACCATGTTAACCTTGCAAGGCACGCATCTGCCCACACGCCCTGTGTCACAGCCCTGCCAAGCGTGACATGACAGCCTCCTGCCAGAGATGCCTGCCCATCCCAGCCCCACGTCTCCTACCAACCGCACACCCGGACCCCAACCCCGCCCGTCCGCCCTCTACCCCTTTCCACCCTAAACCAGTCCCAGAAAAGGAGATTGGAGGGGGGGGGGGGGACGGGAGGAAGAAGACAGGATTTTGCTTAAGCAAACAGATTTACCTGGATCAAATTCGGGGATCCGAGCTTGATATTCAGCTCCGACTCTCATCCCAACATCTGCAAAGCAATGTCAAGAAGGGGGAAAAAAAAAGAAAAAGAGAGAAAGACGGGGAGGGGAAAAAAAGAAAAAAAAAGAGAAAGGAAGAGATACTTAATAAAATATGAAAATTGCAGAAAGGGAGGAAAAGAAGCGGCGGGTGGATGGGAAGATATTAACTCCGGGCACTCCGGGAGATGGCAGCGGATGGGGGCGGGGAGCTGGAGGTGCGGTGGGGCGGGGGGGGTGCGGGCGAGGGCGGAGGATTGGTGGAGGGCGGAGGGACGGGGGTCGCGGGGCTGCGGCGGGGGGTGCTGCTGCACTGCACCGGGAGTTCGAGGCTACCGCAGCGCCCGGGCTCCGAGGGGGAGGGCGGGCGGGAGCGCGGCGAGGGGAGGGGGCTGGGGGAGGGGAGGAGAGAGGGACGGGGCGGGGGGGGGCAGGCGGGCCGGCGGGGAGGAGTTCGAGGCTACCACCGTGCTCGTCGTCGCTGCTGCAGCCGCTCTCGGGCTCCGAGAAGTGCAGCCCGCCGTTCGTGGACGAGGCGCCGCCGCCGCCGCCGCCCGCTGGGCTCTTGGCGCTGCCGTTGGCCGATCGGTTCTTCCCCAGTAACTCGGGCCCTTTCTCCATCATGCCGGGCATGGTAGAAGAGGGGAGGGGGAAAGGTGAGGGGGGAAGAGGTAGGCGTCAGGGGGAAGGGGGAGAAGGGGGAGAAGGGGGAGATGGCTTCCGAGCGCGGGCGGGAGAGGAGAGGAGGAGGAGGAGGAGACGGCGGCGCCGGCGGAGGAGGAGGAGGGTGTTAATATGGAGCCGCCATAACCGCCCCGGTCCGGCAGTAGCGCAGTCGCCTCACAACAACCCGCCCCGGCCCCGCCTCTCTCCCCTCCTCCTCCTCCCGCCGCCCCTCTCGGCCGCGCCGCGCTCTACGCCGCCGCCGGTATCACTCCGCCCCGCAGGGAGGTTCCGGCCGCCGGGCGGAGGAGGGCGGAGGGGGGATGCGCCCGAGAGGAGGGGGAGGGGCGGGGAAGCCCCGCTCGCCGACGGGCCGGGCAACCCCAACCGAGCGCTAATAAAATCGCCGCAGAGGCGCGGCCGCCTCGCGGGCTTCCTTCCTAGGGGGCGCTGTGGAGCGCGGGCGGAGGCGCGCGCGCGAGGCCTCGGGACTCTTTTGCCCTCTCAGGGCGGAAGGAACGCGGTCGGCCTGCGGGAAGGATCGTCGCTGACCCGAGGCCTCAGAGTCCCGGGAGCAGCCCCCCCCTTTTCATCTTTTTTGAGGGGGGGAGTCGCGGTAGCGCGGCTCTCTTGAGATGCCTCGGAGGGTCGGCCGCCGGGTTTCAGGGCTTCACCGCCTGCTTCGAGGTGGAGAAGCGCGCTTGCTCGCGGTGGAGTCGGGCGGCGGAGCGGGGCGGCCTTGTGGAGCCGAGGCCCGGGCGGCTGAAGGATTGGGCCCGGTCCTAACTCTCTGGACGCGGGAGTTTGTGTGGTGTGCACCTCGAACTGGGGCCTGATTTCCTGCAGAGGCTGAGGCTGCCGAAATGAGTTTCCAGTATCGAACAATGCAACTGTATATCACCAAACAGTGTTTTGTTTGTTTTTAAAAGCCGTTTTTCTCAGTCGTCCTTGTCTCACCTTTTCCTTTCTTTTGTTCGTCTTTTCTGTATCATTACTTAGGGGAGTGGGCGTTGTCCGTGTTGAAATAAAAACTGGGACGGGATCTTCGCCCAGTTGGCGCTTTCTCAGCGCGCTGACCTGCGGTCGAGGCTTGGAGCCGAGCTCTAGGAGAGGGCGGAGGCCCCGAGCGGAGGTGAGCCCAGAGCTGCAGTCTAGCGGGGTTTCCAGCCTGGCAGGCGATTTGCTCTGTAATGCTTTCCTGAATTGCGTTAGGCACGAGGAGTAGGAACTGCATTTTTCGTTCACCAGATTTGAGGACATCTGCTGTGTGCCAGGCTGCCTGGCCTTGGGGGGCTACTTAGTATTTTCTTCGTTTAAAAAAATGTTGGGTTTTGGTTTTTTTTTTTTTTTGGCTCACCAGTAAGTAGAAATGAGGATTTCTTGTGAACATTTAGTACGCAGATGTATGCAGATCGGTGTTTGGGGTCCACAGTAAAGTATTTGTCAAACACTTAAAATTGTCCTGTAAGATTTCTATTATAGATCAATGCAGAATGGATCAAACCGGAAAGAAGCCTCTCTGGCTAGAAACAGTCTTCATTGGAAGAAATAACATCCCTAAAGGAGGAACGTGTAAATCAGGAATTGAGCCAGGAAAGAGCCTGGGAGGTAAATATTTGTCAGGGTCCCCAGTCTAAAGGGGAAAGTCTCCTGATCAGGTACAAAAACCTGTCTGGTTCTGGTGGTAGAGGTAGTTTCATATCTCTAATCAAAACCTGATATTCCATTAAATATTTGAAGCTTACAACTAAACCTTTTATTCTATTTCCTTTCTTAACAAATACAGTTGTAAATGTTATTTTAATTCCCATATAATTTTTTTCTGCAGGGAGAGAACATTTTGGCCAAATAAAATGAATAGCCGTTCATTTACCTTGACAGTTATATTTCACAGTGTGTGAATTAGCACATTGGTATTTTGGTTTTCATACACAAGTTCTAATGATCATGATTCAGCATCTCTGGTCTTGTAACACAAAGGCCAGACCCTAAACTGAGTGAATTCACAAAGATAAATATCACTCTGAAGCTGCTTGGCCAACCAGTTTTCTAACACCCCAGCATTCCAACACCTTTCAGCCACTTTTCTTCAGAAAGGAGTTTCTGTCTGTAGATCAGGGACTAAAATGTTGTGAAGGTTTGGGAACTTCTGTAACTCACTTCTGTTTATTAAAACCCTTAAAGTGGGACGAATTCACAATTTCCTTGAGTGCAGCAGGGAATACTGCATTTCCCTGGGGAGAAGAATGGGTGTTTGAGTATGGCATTTAAAAGAAGGAAAAACAAGAAGAGAAGAGTTCTGAAGAATAATCACAGGCCTTAAAATGATATCCCAACAGTTAACAAAGACAGTATAGACAGAGAAAAGCCCTAAGAAAATTTGAGGAACGTCTATAAAAGGGGTTAGAGGCAGAAAAAAAGAATCTGAGCAAGGAAGAAATAAGCATTAAGAGGGGATCATAAACAATGTCAAAGGATGCAGAGTCATGAGAGGGGTTTAAGAAAAGGCCTTTGGATTTGTTAACTAGAAGGCTGTTGATTATTTTGTTTGACTGCTTTTTTTTACTATATTAAAATTTTTTAATATTATTTATATTTTAACCTTGAAACAGACATTACATTTTCTTAGTTACAAATTCAAAACGTCTAAAGAGATATAATTCACTGTTGTACTGGCATCCCAGTGACTGTAAAAAGGCAAGGTAATATAAGCACTAGAAAGAAATACATCAACCTGTTGTTTGGAAAAAAGCACAATAGTCTATATAAAATTTATAAAGTGTTAGTATTAATGAATTTAGCAAGTTTATACAGTCAGTATATAAAGGTTAATTTTATATACCACTGCTAAGCAATTAAGAAATTAATTTTTTTAAGTTTTACCATATATGAATGCATGAAAAATATTGAATAACTAGTCTGTTAGTTTCCAGTGGCAGCTGTGACAAATTACCACAAGCATGATAGCTTAAAATGAATTCATCCTCTCACAGTTATAGAAACGAAAAGTCTGAAATTGAGGTGTTAGCCGAGCTCTCTCAAGGGGCTTGAGGGGAGAATCTGTTCCTTGCCTTTTCCAGTTTCTGTTGTCTGTTGGCATTCCTTGGCTTGAAGCCACAGTCAATCTAACCTCTGTGTCCATCTTCACGTTGCCTTTTCTCTGTGTGTCTAGAATTTTCCTCTTGTCTGTTATATAGGGGGCTTCCTACATGGTGCTAGTGGGAAAGAGCCCACCTACAAGTGAGGAGACAAAAAGAGATGCAGGTTAGATCACTGAGTGGAAAGATCCCCTGGAGAAGGGAATGACAACCCACTTCAATAATCTTACCCGGAGAGTTCCATGGACAGAGGACCCTGGCGGGCTACAGTCTATAGGGCCACAAAGAGTCAGACGTGACTGAAGTGATTTAGCATGCAGGCACGTTGTTATATAGAGACTGCTGGCATGTATGGCCCACCTGGATAATCCAGAATTATCTCCTTGTCTCAACATCCTTAATCATATCTGCAAAGATGCTTTTTCCAAATAAACATTTTAGTTTCCAAGGATTAGGCCCTAATGTCTTTGGTGCACCATCCAGCCCACTGCATCTAGGAATAAATTTTAATAAAAGAGGTATAAGAAGTCTGTACTGGAAATTGTGTTTTGATAGAAGTTAGAGAAGACCTAAGTGTTAGTAGCTGGATAGATACTGTGCTCATGGTTCAGAAGACTTAATATTGTAAAGGTGTCGGTTCTCCCCAAATGATCTATATAGATTTAATCTAATCCCTACTAGAATCCCAGCAGATTGTGTGTGTGAGTGAATTGACAAGCTGAGCCTTAAATGTATATGGAAATTCTAAAGATCAAAAACAGCCAAGACAATCTGGAACAAGAACGATGTTGGGAGATTTATACTATCAGATGTTAGAAAGTAGACCAATGGAACTGAATAGGGTTCCCAAACAGATGCTTATGTGAACATTTTAATTTTGCAAAGGTGATGCTTAGTGATGAGGAAAAAAAAATTGGATGTTTGAATAAATGATGCTGGGTTATTTGAATATACTTGGTGCATACTCAACTCTGAATATTCATTGGAAGGACTGATGCTGAAGCTCCAGTACTTTGGCCACCTGATGCAAAGAGCCAACTCATTGGAAAAGACCCTGATGCTGGGAAAGGTTGAGGGCAGGAGAAGGGGTAACAGGACAAGATGGGCGGATGGCAGCACCAACTCAATGAACATGGGTTTGAGCATACTCTGGGAAATGGTGAAACACAGGGAAGCCTGGCATGCTGCAGTCCATGGGGTTGCAAAGAGTCGGACACAACTTAGCAACTGAACAACAACAAAATAGCTTGTGGACCTAAATGTAAAAGATAAAATAGTGTGTCTAGAAAATACTTAACGAGTACACATATAGCTGCCTTTACATGTTCGCCTTCCTAGGGCCCAGCAGTAAAGAATCCACCTGCAATGTGTAACACAGGAGATGTGGGTTCAATCCCTGGGTCGGGAAGAATCCCCTGGAGAAGGAAATGGCCAACACACTCTAGTGTTCTTGCCTGGGAAATCCCATGGACAGAGGAGCCTGGCGGGCTACAGTCCACAGCATCACAAGAGAGTTGGACTCAACTTAAGCCAGCTTAACAATAACAGGCATCTTCAGCTTATTTCTCAAGAGTGCATGAAAACTTTATCTCAAGAGATGGGGGTGTCAGACTCTGAGATGAAAGGGAGACTTTATCTCTTGTGTGTTCTGTTCAAAATTGGACTCCTGCCATGTGTGTGTATTACTGTTTCAAGGAAATAAATGTTTAAAGAAACAATAGACAAAGCACAGGTAATGATAATTACAGAACAGTAATATGAAGACAGTGTAACAAGGGAAATGAAGTAAAGTTACAGCTGTTAGAAATTGGAGAACAGAATGGAAGAGGAAAGATGGAAAGGGGATAAGGGTGTTACCCTCATTTCATAAAAGGAAAAAAAATTAAGCAGGGTGGTGATTGTGGGCTACATCTTGATTAACCAATTACACTAGGCACACAGGAAGGATCTCCACAGAGATCCTGATTTATTCATTTCCAGGCTGATGATTGTCTTTATGACAACAATTTTGCTGAAGAGTTTATTGATTTGCTCTTTGGTTCTCCTTTAGTTTCACTTTAGAGGTGCCTGTCTTGGAATAAATTTAACTGCAAGATAGAGTCAGGCAGCATGGCCAGAACACTGCCCACCACTGTGCTGCTTACTCAGTGCAGGGCTGAGTCTAGCGGGCATAGTCCAAATATGTTTTCAAGGGGAAAAAGGAGCTGTGTTTTTTTTTTTTGTTTGTTTTTTAGAGCCACTGATCATCCCCAAGTGAGAAGTTGGGGGGAAATCATTTAATCTTAAGAACTGACAGGAAATTTAGAGGTCTGGTAACCCACTTTTTCTTCACCTCCTGGAATGTTTACCACTTCTGATGCTTGTCTTACAGCCTCCATTTAAACAGGTACGGAGATAGGTAACTGCATCACAAAGCGGATAATTTCATTTTTTAAAGATATCCTTTTTTTGGTACTTAAAGTTCAACTACATGTAAGAGAAACCTCAAATAAGAGTGTCTTAAACAAAATGAAAATTTATTTCTTTTCATGTAAAAATATCCAGAAGTAGAAAGTCCTGGGCTGAAATGACAACTGCCATGAAGCTATCAGGCACCCGGGCTCCTTTGCCACAGCTTCACTGTTCCTGGTTTGTCACTTTCGCCCTTGTGATCCGAATAGCTGCTGGATGGTGAGTAATCAGGATGACACTCCTCACAGCAGGACAGGAAGAAAGGCAGAAGGGCACACCCCTTCTCTTGAAGGAGATTTTCTGAGAGTACCACACCACTTTTGTTGATTTATCAATAGTCAGAGTTTAGTTACATGGCCCACTAACCTCAAGGGAGGCTGGGGACCATCAAAGTGCTCTGCTAAAAACCAGGGCTCTGTAGATAAGGATGAAGGGGAAAATGAGTGTTGAAAGGGTAGCTCGCAAGCTCTGTCACACAGCTCCTTTAAATATTTGAAAACACGTCCTGCTTTGGCTTCTCTTTTAGGGTAAACATCCTCATTCTCTAACAAGTCTTCAGTGGTAAGGTTTTCAGATCCTTCACCTTTTCCATCCTCATTCTCTAACTTCAGTGGTAAGGTTTTCAGATCCTTCACCTTTTCCATCCTCATTCTCTAACAAGTCTTCAGTGGTAAGGTTTTCAGATCCTTCTCCTTTTCCATCCTCATTCTCTAACAAGTCTTCAGTGGTAAGGTTTTCAGATCCTTCACCTTTTCCATCGTCCTGTTAACAGGCTCTAGTGTGTACTTAAGACACCTGCGACACTGTGAGAGGTACTTGCTGCGAAGTCAATGGGAAATACTTGGTCCCCTTTTCTTTGCACCTTATTTTATGAATCCATCCTAAAATTAGCTTTCTTGGGAACATGGTTACTAAATCTGGAATCAATTGCATTCTCCTGGCTTTTACATTTGCTATTGTTTAGCCTGGTCTCTCCCTACTTGGACTCATGTAGATTTTTTAATTTCCTTTTTTCCCCTCTCCTCCCCCCCCGCCCCAATCAGTAAATGAATTTGACTCTACTGCCATTTAATTTCACCTGACTTGTTTTAGTTTACCTGAACCTTTTGAGAGCTTTTTGATTTCTCACTTTCTTACCTAGCACGTTATATGACTTGACTGTGGACATTTGTACCTTTGTTAAGTGGAATTTCTCTTTAAGGGCAGTAACAGTGTCTTAATTTATATTCTCAGCATTGGGTACAATACCTGTGCACAATGCATGTTTGTTTAATGAATGAATTTTGCCGTTAGCTGTGATGAGCATTTTCTAGAAGAATATTTTAGTTCTGGAATTGTTCATGGAAGACTGAAATTTCCATGTCTTTAAAAATTGATTGTTATCTGTCTAGGAGAATTACGTTTAAATGTGTATACAGTCTTTAAAAGTAGGTGATTTAAACAGTTTTGCCAACTGTCTAAATCATACAAACATGATTTTTTAATGATTTGTTTGGCTAAATTTCGATAAGAAAGAAAAACGCTAGACAATTTAAAGTTTACATTTTAACTCTGTCCCCTGTAACTCACTCAGAAAAGAATCTGCCTGCAGTGTAGGAGACCCAGGTTCGATCCCTGGGTCAGGAAGATCTGCTGGAGAAGGAAATGGCAACCCACTCCAGTATCCTTGCCTGGAAAATCCCATGGACAGAGGAGCCTGGTGGGCTGCAGTCCAAGGAATCACAAAGAGTAGGGCCAACTGAGCGAGTAACACACTTCCCTGATACAAAGTATCCTTTACTAAGTCATTCACTTTCTCTTGGTTTCACAAATTATAAAAGAGAATTCACAAATCAATTTTTCTTATTTAAAAAAGGTGTTTGAAAGAACACTCTTAAAATCAGTCTATAGGGAACAGTAGCATCCAAGTTGTGAGGTAATCTATAGATCTGGGGGTAAGATTAAAAGTGTCAGCCTCTGAAATGGATACAAACTAACACCAGACTGATTTGTGGGAATAATTTTAGAAAGTAACTTGAAAATGTTTCAAAAACATGCTGCTCCTGAGCTTCAGTTCAGTTCAGTTCAGTCACTCAGTCGGATGAGATTAGGGGCTCCTAAAATAAATTTTTGGAGGTTGGAGATAGTAATCTAAATATAATGTATAGAATAATATGTAAACTTGGCATTTAGACATTGATAAAAACACAGTCGTTGGCACATAGTAAATATTCAGATGTTAATTAATATTATTAAAATAGAGATTAGAAATAAAATCAAAGAGCTTCTCCAGAGCTGACCAAGGAGATGGCAACTGGAATCTATACAATAGTCCCTTATTTGGATAGAAATATTCCCAGAGATAACAGTTTAAAGGAACAGGTTCCCCAAAGAATTTCAATTTATTAGGATGTAAACAGAATTTTTAAAGGGTAGCTGTCAAAAAGTCTCCCTTTTGCATACATGTTTTTTCCCCTATTGATACATCTTGATCTAACTCCATTACTTTCTGTTGTAGAGTAATTTGATTCTATTTAGTGTAGGCCAAATTTGTGGGATTTGCAGTAGGTATGGTACTCTCCACTCCTCATTCCCCAGACCTTTGAAGTGAGTCCAGGGAGAAAGAAGAAGAAGGAAGGCAGATTGTCTTCTTACTTCACTATTCTTAGGTTGATAACCTTCACTGTTTTGTGACTGTAGCTTCTATAACACTTGCTAGTTGTACCAGCTCCAAACGCTGGGGATGTTTGTGTTGGTCTTCAGGAGGCCTTTCTTCACCTCCTCTCCTGTCCCTGGCTGCGGGTGACTCACCACACAGTGCTTACTCGTGTAACCCTCATCTGGGAGGTAGCCACCTTAACGTGGAGTACTGAAGACATGTCAAGTATAAAATTTATAATAATGGGAGTTGAGACAATTATTAGAAATTATTCTCATTACTTCTGGGCCATGAATTGCATTTTGAAACTAAAGTGTTCTAATTATATTTGAGGCCTCTGTGAAGCCTTTACTATTTTATAGAGAGAGATGTAATGATAATGGGTAGGATAGGAAGGTACTCTGCTGCTGCTGCTGCTAAGTCACTTCAGTCATGTGTGACTCTGTGCGACCCCATAGACAGCAGCCCACCAGGCCCCCCCCCGTCCCTGGGATTCTCCAGGCAAGAATACTGGAGTGGGTTGCCATTTCCTTCTCCAATGCATGAAAGTGAAAAATGAAAGTGAAGTCACTCAGTCGTGTCCAACTCTTAGCGACCCCATGGACTGCAGCCTACCAGGCTCCTCTGTCCATGGGAGTTTCCAGGCAAGAGTACTGGAGTGGAGTGCCATTGCCTTCTCCAGGAAGGTACTCTAGGTTGAATTAAATTGTGAAGAAAAATCTTTGTTTCCAGTATTTAATTTTATATGTGATTTAAACTAAGAATACTACAAGGAGGTGGATTGTAAACAACGGATATATGCGTGTGAAAACCAGGGCTTCATAGTATTAATAAATGGTTCAGACAGTAAAGAATATACCTGCAATAAAGGAGGTCTGGTTTTGATCCTTGGGTTGGGAAGGTCCCCTGGGGAAGGGAATGGCAACCCATTCCAGTATCCTTGCCTGGAGAATTCCGTTGACAGAGGAGCCTGCCTGGTGGGCTACAGTCCATGGGGTCACAAAGACACACAACTGAGCAAGTAACACACACATTGTATTGATTAGAATTTGAGAAAAGTTGCTCAAAAGAAAAAGCACCATAGTCAATTTTAGGGACCTCAATATAAAATAAAGGCTTGTTGCTGTTAAGTCTCTGTCTCTTCCCAAACCTACCACACACACTTCATTTCTCGTCTCTCAGCTCTGTTTTCTGTTTACCTTCATTCTTTATTACTGCAAGCAGCCACTCCCAAACAGGAACGACCTTTAAGTTCATTAAATAGCAAGGAATACAAGAGAAACATGGTGCTCTTCTACACCAGTGGCTTTCACACCTCTTGTTACCTACTGCAGTATACATTATATTGTTAACCCAATACCAATGTATAAATGTGTATCAGTCAGCTGTTTCTTTATAAACAGAACATCTTAGGGACATATAAAGGCAAGCATTTCTTTCACTCGATTTTTGTGTGTTGGTTAGGGTCAGCTGATCTATGCTGGACTCAGCTGGGTGTGATGGCTGGTCTTGGCAGGGCTTGCCTATGGATCTGTGAGTTGGTTGGTGGTTAGCTGATACCGACTGATCCTGGCTGGGGGGGTCTAGCTTGGGTTACTCTGCCCCATATGTCTCTCCTATTATTGATACTTGTGGACCTGCCTGAGCATATTTTTCTTAGGAAAATGGCAGAGGTACAAAATAGTAAGCCCGGTTGCACAAAAATTCTTCAAACCTTTGATCATGTCATGTAACATTCCATTGGCTAGAGCAAGTCAATGGCAAGTCCCAAGTCAAAGAAAAGTATACTCACAGAGATAAGGGGAATAAATATTTTTGAATAATTATCAGAAATATGCAAATATAACAATCCAATGCACATGTGTAATTTAGAAGAATAACATAGATGGAGCTACTTGCATGATAAGAATAGAAACTGAGATTGGATGTGGATGTGGGTGGTAGGGGGAGAAGAAGGGGTTGAATGAACTGGGAGATTCAGTTCAGTTGCTCAGTTGTGTCTGCCACCCCATGGACTGCAACACTCCAGGCTTCCCTGTCCATCACCAACTCCTGGAGCTTGCTCAAACTCATGTCCAACAAGTCAGTGATGCCATCCAACCATGTCATCCTGTCGTCCCCTTCACCTCCTACCTTCAGTCTTTCCCACAGGGTCTTTTCCAGTGAGT